CGGGGTTGCTGACTACCTACAATACCCCTCCAACCCAACCCGAAGACCCGAATTTCGGGTTGGGGGGGATACGGGCTTCATGTGTATTTCCACGTTCCCCGACCCCCCCCCCCCCCACTGGAAACGGAGGGCAAAGCGGGGCCTTCGGGTTGGGTTGGGGTGGTTTGGTAGGCGGTGAGTTGCAAGGGTGTCGCGCGCGCGGCATCTCGGAGCACAGAAATTGCGAGGATGTCTCTGGAAAAACGAGCCAGCCCCCCTCGCGAGCAACTTCTCTCGGAGCCCCGAGCTGCGAGGACGCCTCATGAGAGAAACGCGCCAGAACACCTCGCGCGCGGCATCTCGGAGCTCAGAGTTGCGAGGATAACCGCATGCCGATGATAATAAAGGGACCCCCCCTTCAGTGTTTAGATTTGATTATCGTCGCCCTATACAACATTCAAATTGGGCGGCGAGCGCTGAGGCCGAACTTCATTATCACCTCGAAACGCTACGTTGAGATAGCAAAATCAAGCGATGCTGCTATCCCCGCGCGCGCCTGAACTTTTTTATCTCTGGGGTTGATTATCCATGGAAAGGGGCGCACATGAGCTACCCTACCTGAGCACTTAAAAACATCAGTGTTCATAAAGCGTTTGCACATTAAAATTTATAGATGTGGAACTTTCCATGTTTCCGTTATTATGATCTTATTCTTCTTCTCTTCTTCTTCTCTTCTTGTTATTCGTCTACTTTCCTCGTCTTCTTTTATATTTCTATCTGTCCTCACGCTCGCCTGAACTTTTTTATCCCTGGGTTGATTATCCATGGAAAATGAAGCACATGAGCTACCCTACACGAGCACTTAAACACATCAATTTTCATAAAGCGTTTGTAAATTAAAATTGATAGATTTGGAACTTTGGATTTTTCCTTTCTTCGTCCTCTTCTTATTATCCTCTTCTTCTTTCTTATTATTATATTGTATTCTTCTTCTTTTATATTTCTCTCTGTCCCCACGCTCGCCTGAACTTTTTTATCTCTGGGGTTGACTATCCATGGAAATTGAGGCACATGAGGTACCCTACACGAGCACTTACAAAAAAACAATGTTCATAAAGCGCTTGTAAATAAAATCTAATAGATTTGAATATCGAGATGTTTTCTTCTCTTCGTCCTTCTCCTCCTCCTATCATTTCTTTTATTGTATTAGTTATTCTTTTTTATTTGTCTGTTTTATATATATATATAGCTTCCTCCATTCCAGCGAGATAAGCAATTGTTGAGGATATTTCTATGAAAACTAAACGCCAAGGATGTCTCAAAACGTGCTCGGCTTGGTCTCCTCTTGATCATCTCTTACTTCGAGATTATGCTGAGGTCTGCTGGGCTACTTTTATTATCTCTCCCTGAACCCCGAACTTTATTATCCCCTAGTGCTTATTCTCACGGGCATGAGGTTATCGTCGGGGGCGGCCAAGAGGGGGGCGTCCAAGAGAGAGTGGGGTGCGCAAATCTTGGCCAGCGGCATGCGCGCGGCCTAGAAAGGGGGGGCCAGGGACGTAATGAAATCAGAAGAGGCGCCATGAAACATGAGGAAATATCATGGCCCCCGGCATACCCACCCCCCATAATCATCCCCCCCCCTCTTGGCCGCCCCCGATATCGGGAATCTACTGACCCGGGTCAGTCCAAACCTGGGTCAGTCAGGCGTTGCAGGATCCTGCAAAATCCTGCAAGATCCTGCAGGATCCTGCGCCCAAGCCCGGGTCAATGTGACCCTGGTCCTGCAGGATCCTGCAAGACTCGGCGCTCTGACCCCCGTTTGCATTGACCTCCGCCTCTAGTCCCGAGGATATCTCAAGCGAAACTCGCCGGACCACCCAGCACGCGGCATCTCGGAACGCAGAAATAAAAAGATGTCTCAGGCGCAACGATCCGGACAACTTCGCGTAGGGCATCTCGGAGCTGAGAGTTGAGGTTGTCTCGGGCGAAACGCGCCTGACCACATCTGGTGCGGCGTCTTGAAGCCCAGAGTTGCGAGGAGTTCTCAAGAGAAACGCGCCAGACCACCTCTCGCACAACATCTCGGAGCCCAGAGTTGCAAGGATGTCTCAGGCGAAACGCGCTTGACCACCTCGAGCGCGGCATCTCGGAGATCAGATTCGCGAGGATGTCTCAGGCGAAACGGATTGGACCACCTCGCGCGCGGCATCTCAGAGATCATAATTGCTAGGATGGCTGAGGCGAAACGCGCCGCACCACCCCGCGCGCGGCATCTCGAAGACTAGAGTTGCGAGGATGTCTACGGCGAAGCGCGCCAGACGACCTCGCGCGTAGCATCTCGGAGCTGAGAGTTGTGAGGATGTCTCAGGCGAAACGCGCCTGACAACCTATGGCGCGGCGTCTCGGAGCCCAGTTGTGAGGATGTCTCAGGCGAAACGTGCCGGACCACCTTTCGCACAACATCTTGGAACAGAGTTGCAAGGATGTATTAGGCGAAACGCGCTGGACTGCCTCGCGCGCGGCGTCTCGGAGATCAGACTTGCTATAATGCCTCAGGCGAAACGCACCGCACCACCCCTGGCGCTGTTTCTCGGAGCTCCGAAGATGTCTCAAACGAAACGCCCTGTCCCGGCCAACTCGGAAACGAGAAGTGTGAGGATGTCTCAAACGAAATGGCCTGGATCAGATAATCCCACCAGCCCTCTGGGGGCAGGTGGTCTAACAAGATTAATCTTCCCTCTTCCAAAAAATCCCTCTTCCCCTACGGGGAGGGGTTTACCCGTCCTCGGCGAGGAAGCCAAAATCATTGGTTTTATTATGGTTTTGGCCCCGGGAGGGGGGGACTGGATGGCCCCAAGAGGCCTTACAGGGCTCCCAAGAGGGCCCCCAAAGAGCCCCAAGAAGGCCCCAAGAGGACTCCAAGACCCCTAAAAGAGCCCCACGAAAGCTCCAATTCCCTCCTGAAGAGCCCCAGTAGAGCTCCAAGAAGCAATTTTGAGGGCTCCTGCGGAGGGGCCGAAATCAAGGATCCCCCATCTTTTGCCCGATGCTCTCCTAGATGGCCCCTAAACGCCTTCCAGGGCACCAGCCGAAGCACCAGCAGAGGCAGCAACAACATCCGCAGCAAAAGCAGCAGCACCAATTGATGGCTGAGAAATCCCACCAGCCCTTTGGACGACAGGTGGTCTGGGCTGAGCACTCCTCCTCCTCTTCCTCCTCCTCTTCCCGACGCCCCCACGCGGTCCCCACGGATGGCCCGAAGAGGCCTTCCAAGGCAACCCCCTTGCTCCCAGATCTCCCGGTTCATCCTGGTTGCTCGCTTTGTTTCCCTAAATGTGTCCCTTCGTCTCTATCCCCGTCAACTCTCGTAGGCAAGGTTTCTGGCTGGGCTGGTGGGTTTTTTTCTCGATCGCGAGCGCAGGCGGAAGTGCCGCGCGCCGTCCAGAGCAACAATTAGCTGATGGGGATACTTGTTCCGTCGCAGCCGCAGGCGAGGGCGCCGACAGCGTCGCAAGTCAGCTCGGGCTACGAACAAACCTAATTAACCTCGGCGCGCGCACAAGCGGTTGCTGAACTACCGCCGAGGGACGCTGAGCTGCGCCGAGGGCCGAAACCAGGGCTTCCAGGGCAGCGGCAGAGGGGCGCCGAGCGCAGGGCGCCAGACTGCGAAAGCAGCCAAACGCCAGGCGGCGAGCTTGCAGGCATCCCAGAGGCGATACCACCAGGAAAGACCCCAGGGGCGAGACCACCGGAAAGAGGACGAATTGAACCTTGTCGCACCAGGCGCCAAAGGTAGAAGCGAACCAGTGCTGCATGCCGACACGGACAACCACTGTTGGGGATACTTTTTGGGGTCGCGGCCGCAGGCGAAAGCGCAAGCGGCGAGTCGTAAATCCGGGGCGCGGGCCTTCTAATTGACAACAGGAGCAAACAGGGCCGCGCACCTAAACTGCCTAAGCTGCCAAAGCGGCGCCTCAAGTGAGCTGCAAGCCGTACTGAGTGTGGATGCCAGGGCCAGGGGCAGACAGCGCACACACACACACACACACACACACACACACACACACACACACACACACACACACACACACACACACACACACACACACACACGCACACACACAGCGTCCATGCAAGCATGGCGGTGGGGCTGGTGGGGGTACGCGAAGCGTGAAGAATTTGTTTGAGGATGCCTCTGCTTTGGCCTCTCCTGGCCAGAATTAACTTCTATCACATAAGCACACCGTTCAGCTAACTGCTTGGGGACATAATTGCACTAACATATACATTCGGAGCTCCGCGGTGATTTCCTGGATCGGCGCTGGCCCCCTCATGGCTTTCTTGGGCTGTCTTGGAGCTCATGTGAGCTGTGTTGGGGCGATTTTAGACGCCATTTGGGCCGTCGTGGGCGCTGCGACAAATAAAACATCGAACGTATACACAAAGCGCTTGCACAACGAAAGAAACTCCGTATGGATTGGCTCTCGAAACTCTTTCGCGGGCGCCCTTGTGGAATCTTCGCAGCATCTTGGGGCCATCTGGGAGCCTCTTCGGCCGTATTGTCGGCACTTTGCCGTCCTCGCGGACCATCGCGAAAACCACTTGAGGCCGAGAGATCCCTCGGGAGCCCTAAAAAAGGCCTGCCCAGAAGAGGCCTGGTGTCCCCTGGGGCACAGGCGGCTCCGGGGGGGAACGGCGGGGAATTTCGAAAAAGCGGCTCCAGGAGGGCCAGCGCCGATACGAGAGATCCGCGCGGAGCTCCGAACACTCATGTTCATGCACTGCTCGGTGGCAACTCATGTGAGCCTCCCATATTGTCGGCTCTTGCGAATCGACGCTAATCGACGCTAATCGACGCTGAATCGACGCTTATCGACGCTACCCGACGCCAAATCGGCGCCATCTATAATCGACTCCCAGACGCCAATCGACGCCCATCGACGCTGAAGCCAGAATTGCGAGGGTACACCAGGCTCCCATGATTTGCTGCCGAAGCATTGCTTGCTCTCCTCCGATGCCTGCCCGTGCGGCCGGCACATGGGCGGGATGGGGTCCGCGGAGCCCGCGGCCTTCATGTAGGCGAAGCCGCAGGCGCTGGCCGCCGACATGCCCGCCAGGAGCACCAGCGGCAGCCAGGCCGCCACCGCGATGTGGAGCGCCACGGTGGCCGCGGGCGCGACGCCAAACGCCACGGCGAAGGCGGTGCGCCCGAGGCTGGTCACCTGGGGAGGAGGGAGCACGGCATAGACAGAAACTGCTGGCGCTCCGCGCGGATTTCTCGGACCTGCGCTGGACCCCTTCCCCTGGCGCGCGAAGCGCGCCCAGGGCGGCGCCAGAGGCACCGCCGGGGGGACCCAGCGCGGAGCCAAGAAATCCGCGCAGAGCGCCAACAGCTTCATGCTTAATTAGGGCGTTCCTTCCTTCGAGCGCCCGAAGCTGGTCACCGTGGACATCGGTGCTCCGAGCCGCCGCGCGTACGCTGGGCCCATCTGGTTGAGCACGGTGAGGGTGCTCGCCGAGGGCAGAGGAAGACAGAGGCGGCACGAGCAGCAGTGCTCGGAGCTCCGCGCGGGTGCCTCGGAGCTGAGCGGGAGCCCCCTCCCTGGCGCGCGGAGCGCGCCACCATGGGCGGCACGGGGGGCCCCGCGCCGGTGCGAGGAATCCGCGCGGAGCTCCGAGAGGTTGTGTCTATGCTGCTTCTGCTTCTTCGGGGTGGGACGTACACAATGGCGAACAGTGCTCCAACGATCGCAGGCGCCACTCGGGAGCCCCTCAGGTCAACGCCGTCCAGGATGGCGCCGTCCAGGAGGGCCAGGGCGGAGAGCAGCCCTGCCAGGAGCGTGAAGTGAAGGGCCTCGTGGCCGATCGACCCGAACCGCTGAAGCGAGGGGTTGACGAGCGTCAGGTTGGACACGATCTGCATGAAGGCCGCGGAGATGATGATCGGGAAACGAATAACGACAGAAACATAAACTTCTGGAGGTCCGCGTGGACTTCCCGAATCGGCGCTAGACCCCCCGCAGGGCCGCGCCTCCGGCGCCGATCCAAGAAACCGGCGCGGACCTCCCAGAATTCACGCTTGTGTCAAGATGTGCTCCCCGAGATGACCGCCGCAATGATCAGCTCCGACTCGCTGGATCCCAGCACGCCGCCGCTGCCCGCGGAGTCGGCGGGCGCATACGCGGCCGCCAGCGTCGAGAGGATCACTGGCATCAGCGAGAAGAAGCCGCCCTGGAACGCGCCGCTCGTCATGAAGGCCCACATCCACAAATAGAATCCGGGGGTGGCGAGGAGGGCGCGCAAGCCGGCCGCGGGCTTCTGGTGGCATCCGTCGACGGGCGGAGCCAGAGGGGGCACCAAGCTGGTCGCTGCGTCTGTCGGGAACGCGGATACCCTGAGCAGTCGCATCTTATCCGGAGGAAGAACTTTTAGAACTCCGAGCGGACTTATGAGATCGGCGCAGGACTCACCCTCCAGCGCGGAGGCCTGAAATGTTACCTTTACGTTGTTGTTTGTGACCCTATTCCGCCGCCAGGGGATTCCAGCGCCGATCCGAGAAATCCGGACGGAGCCGCGAAACTTTGCATGTATAAAAAACTGTTCTCTTATAGGTTGGACCCTTATGGGCCAAAGAGAACACTTAGGTGGGTTGTGGATCTAACCTCTTTACTCAGAGAGCTGGCAAGTACACGTCCAACGAGCTTCAACGCCCGACAGCTCAAATCTCCAGGCCTCTGGCACTTGCCGTGGGGCCCAGACCTCTCGACCCTGGGGCCCTGGCAGTTTTTGAGGGGGGTCCGGAGAGGGCCGATGCCCAAACTGAAGAACCAGTGGCCGTGCCGTGTTGGCCACGCCACCAGCTGGTCGTGGTGATGAAGAACACTCCAGGAGGTAAACAAAACTAAGCAGAAAACATGCAAACACGTTGATTCCGGCCAGTCTCGGTTCGACCTAAGAACGCCCATTATTTGTCTATAGATAGTGTGTGTGTGTAAATGTAGATGTAGATGTGCATATATACATATATATACATATATATATATATACATATACATGTATAATGTTTTTCAAGTTTGTACGATGGGCTCTTGACAACCTAAAAACGCTAAAGACACACTGCACGGTTTTAGTGTTGTTTATACTCGCATTTTAACGTTTTTAGGCCAGTCCTTGTGGTTCATCTTTTCTTGGCGTGTCTTGAATTCGTGTCGAAAGGTGCTCCTTATCATCCGTGCCGTCTACACTCCCGCTCTCTCCCGTTCCTGCTGCCTCCCGTTGCACCCGCCTGGCGCGCAGGGCTAAAAACTACAAAACCAAAATAAGCCCTAACGCCAGTTTGACACCAGTTCGAATCCAAGAGGGCCCGGGAAGGCCCCAACAAGGACTCGCGATCGTCGTCGCCGTCGCCGTCGTCGTCGTCGTCGTCGTCGTCGTCGTTCATCGTCCCCTGCGGGCGGGTCAATGTGTGATAGGCCTAGGCCCCGAGAGCGGCTCTGTGAGGCCGAGGAGTGAACAGAATTGGGGCCGAACCACAAAATCAGTCGACCCGATCCTTTTACCCGCGGCGATACCGGGCGTTAATTATGGGGTAGGCGAGAAGGGGTGCATAACGAAACACCCCCCCAACCATGTGGGTCTGGCACCAAACTGTGGTGCCGGACGCACTGCGGCAGTGCCGCGGACGGACGCACTGGGTGGGGGGGGGCGTTACGTTATGAGGGGGAGGGGGGGGGGCGGGAGGAGGATCATAATGAGCGTTATGGTCCAAAGGTTTCAACACACACTCTCCGAAGTGCACGCCGTCCCTTGGAAACGTAGGGAAACACAGAAAATCACCGATACCGCAACTCGTCAGACCTCTCCTTAAGTGCGGTGAGACCAAAAATTCGAGGCGAACCCAGAGGTGGCGACGAAGGCCTCCCAAGATGCCCAAAAGCCGAAACGGGGCAAAGGTTGGAGGTTGGGGGGTGTGAACGGAAGTGACCCCAACCGGGAAATCGGTTTCGGTTTCGGTTCGTGTCGTGCGGGCGATGCGAAGCTACGCGAGTACCTGCACTGGTAGAGGCCACATGGAGCCCAAAAGCCCCCCCCCGGGCGGGCGCGTGTCCCGTGGTTGTCCCGGTGGTTGTCCCAATGGTTGTCCCGATGGTTGTCCCGATGATTGTCCCGATGGTTGTCCCGATGATTGTCCCGATGGTTGTCCCGATGGTTGTCCCGATGGTTGTCCCGGTGGTTGTCCCGATGGTTGTCCCGATGGTTGTCCCGATGGTTGTCCCGATGGCGATGGTTGTCCCCATGGTTGTCCCGATGGTTGTCCCGACGGTTGTCCCGATGATTGTCCCGATAATTAGTTGCCCCGATTGTCGTCCCGTGGTTGTCCCAATGGTTGTCCCGAGGGTTGTCCCCTGGTTGTCCGAATTGTTGTCCTGATGGTTGTTCCGATGGTTGTGCCGATGGTTGTCCCGATGGTTGCCCCGATGTTTGTCCCGAGGGTTGTCCCGATGGTTGTCCCGATGGTTGTCCAGGTGGTTGTCCCGATGGCTGTCCCGATGGTTGCCCAGAGTCCCGTCCCGATGGTTATCCCGACGGTTGTCCCCACGGATGTCCCGATGGTTGTCCCGACGGTTGACCCGATCGAGAGATCTCTCTCTCTATATATATACATATAGATATATTCATGAGTTGGTAGATCTATAAGTCGACTCTCTAATGTGCCGACTCGATAGACATATATATATATATAGATAGATTGATGAATATATACAACATGGACACACATCTTGTTTAGTTAGATAGAAGGAAACGGAAGTAGGTGGTATTTATTTGCCCGCGCTCTCTTTGGTGGCGGCAGGTGGGAGTCATTGCACACCGACCGCCCCCCCTTCCCCCCCCCCAACCTCCTCATCACCCGTAGGGTGGCCCCATGGGTAACAAACGGGCATCTGTTACACCTCTGAAGCCGAAATCGTCACCCAGGAATTAAGCATCCGAGACATGTAGGATAGACCTGGTCCAAAAAACGATCTTGGACTACCCTGGAACGATTAATCCGGAATAGCTCCTGCGTCAGGAACTTCGCCAATTCCGGAACGGTTTTTGTTAGACGTTTACTGTTGCCTTTTTTGTACCGTGTCCATGTTCAAGAAACACTTTTCGGAAACGGTGAAAAGACGGCCCTGCCCTTCCAGGGCCCACTAAGGTCAGAAGAGCGATTAGGGGAAACTCCAGCTGAGTGCCATCTGAAGCAACTCCAACGCGAAAGCGGGAGGCCCGAGTCAGAGATTATCCCTGACCACCCCCTGCCCTGATTTGAACAGGGACCAACCGTCCTGGCATCCCTATAGAGCCTACCACGAGATCTGTGGATAAGTGTTTGAATCGCGAGAATACGTGTTTGAATCGCGAGAACACTGTTCTTAGACCACGCGGGTCAAAGCAAGATTGCCTCAAACAGACACGCTCTGGAAATAATTCGTGCAGACCACAGGGAGCTCTCAGGAGGCTGCTGCGTGGGCTTAAAGGCCGGTCAGGACGCTCCGCCACTGCTCGACTGAGTCTGTTAGGCCTGTCTTCCACCACCACCACCATAAGTTGGAGGGTAGGGGGTCCTCCTCCTCCTCCTCCTTGTCCTCCTCCTCCTCAACGTCCCCCTCCTCCGCCTCCTCCCCCTCCTCCTCCTCCTCCTCCTCCTCCTCCTCCTCCTCCTCCTCCTCCTTCACTCCTCCAACTTGTGGTGGTGGTGGCAAACAGGCCCAGCAGCGTCGGGGCGCCCAACGTCGGGGCGGCCAAGAGCCGGCAGGCGGAGCGGAGCGGACCCAGAGGAAGGAGAGCCCTTAGGGGGCCACATGCGAACCCTACCCCTACCCCCCCCCCCGATTTCTGCGGGGAGGGTGGGGTTCACTTCGCTCGGGAGCTCCCGAACGAGGTGAACCCCACCCTCCCCCTCAGAAGTCGTGGGGGGAGGGGTAGGGTTCGCAGGTGGCCCCCTAGCCCTGCCTCTGCGGGGTCGAGCTTGGGGAGGGGCGTACCATTACGTTGTTCCCATCCCACTTATAAGGACCACGTCCCAGAAATA